GCGTTATCCTCTAAATCATCAAGACCTGCGATTTCGTGCTTGTGAAATGCCTTAGCGATCAGATGTTCTGTTCCTGAGAGGACACTGTCCTGAACACAGTTCGCAAGTAGCAATGCCTGGAGCCCTGCGCACACCAGAGAAGCGTTTTCAAGTCGTGCAATTTCGGCATTAATTCCGTCGAACACACGGTCATCGACGGACCCACATAAATGAACACAGAAGTTACTGGAGAACAAGTGAGCCAACTCAGCAATCTCAACAAGACTCCTTTGTAACCTCCTCAAGTCACCTTCAGAGAGCGATGCCATCACCACCGTGACAAGCAAAAGTGAAGTGATAATGACTGCTCCCCCCTCATCGCGAACAGAAGTGATGATGCGGGTCAAAGGTAACCATTGAACTGGAGTTGCATGGCGAACCGTAATCCACCATTGTTCTACTCCCAGGCCCCCCTGATCGGTGCAAGCAACTGGCCTCGGCAAAAGCCGGGCTGGAGCAGCGACCGCAGCTGGTTTGGGCAGCCTGAACTTCAGTATCTCCAATTGTTCTCTCACATCATTGTTCATACTACCAACCTGGGAAGAAGTGAAAGCGATCAAACCAAAGCGGGTGCCCTTCCAAGGCAACACACAATGATGGAGATCAGGGGCAAAATACAAGGGAGAATTATTCGTGCTGTGGGATCCACCAGTAACGACCTTGCCATTGTCCGTCTGGGTGCCCGGGCCTCGTCCTGGCATCCCCTCAACCCACAACAAACCTCCCGAAAAATCCCCGAAACTAATCGCAAAATTCTCGCTTCCTTTGAGATTTCGTGAATCTGCATACAACAAGGATTTGGCATCACGATTCACCGCGACCGAAGTCCATGTGAAATCGCGACGCGCATGTTTGCTGATCCACTCGTTCATGTACCGACATGCGAGAGGGAATCGCTTGGTGATGTTGGTGATCCCTTGCATGGAACTGAACGAAAAGAAACCCCAATTGTGATAGTAGGATTCATCGTTTGTGGTGAGCCGAGACTTGCGTCTCTTGCTCACCTTTATCGGAAATTCTGATGCGACTGACTGCAATCCCTCAAAGCTAAAATCCCTCGCCTGAAGAAGACCCTCCGCAATGGCTTCGAGGCGTGGCCTGCCATGACTGGCGGCTGCAATCTGAGGCTTCACAACCAAATGGCTGTCCGAATCCTTGCCACCTTTGTTGGCGACATCAGGACACAAGTTGTGGTTGATCAACCTGAGAGCATGAAGCCACTTAGTCTTTTCAGCAAAAGGTTTTGCGAAGATGTCGGCAACCTGTTCGAGTGTATCAACATTCATCATGTCAAAACGTTCCACCTCGAACTGCTGCTTTAACCATCCAAAGCTAATGTTCTGGGTGCGGTCAGTGTGTCGCATCTTTTCACTGTCCCTTTGTGAACGATCGTGATCGTTGCCTGGTTGTCTTCAAGGAACTGAACACGAAACTTATCACTCAAGCCCACGTTCAACCCTGAAGATTAGCAACTGAGCGACCACCTGGGTTACCCCCGTACCTGATCTCGTCAAGCTCGGGGTCAACTCTCGCTATAACACCGTCAATCTTGATGGGTGGAGGTCTCTTTGGCCTAACCTGATGGTTGGCTGAATTGATCTCAACCTGTTGCCACAGGAGAATCCATAGACTGAGGCTGGGCAATCCCTGAGCACGAACACCATGGTTAGCACTAATGACATCACTTTCAGTGCTTGACATCGTGATGCTGGTTTGCTTCTTGGAAAAAGCATTAAGTGGGTAGTAGGTGTTTGGCCCCACGAGATACAGCGCACAGCCTGAGGTTGATTTGCGATCATGTTCCCCAGACCAATCTGCGTCGCAGAACAGCCAAAGCTTACATTCACTCATGCGGTCACCAATAAAACCTTGCATCCGAACATCAAGTGAAGAGTTGATGTAGCAAACAAGCCTGCGAAGTGCGGCGTCGCAGTCCTTGCTCCACTTCGTCACCCTACTGGCGAGGCTTTGGGTAGCCCGCAGGAGATCCCATCGAGCCATCCTAGCTGCAAATAGGATTTTCATGAGAACCTTACTAGCAATCGGTTGGAGGCGACCAGATGGTTCTTCCCCCTCTGTCGGCTTAGCAATCCTGTTCTCTGAAAACGGAGTGGGAACATTGGTTAGAGACTGCTTCGAAACCTTAGCGAGATCACAGTACCTGTCCACACAAGAAATCAGGAAGTCTTTCATGTCATATGTCATGACGTTCACGGGCTTGTCCATAGAAGGAACAGCCTCTTTGCAATTCCCTTGAACTTCTGTTCCTTGGCTTCCCTTTTGGCCTCGGCCTTAGACCTAGACGGCTTGCCTTTGGAGGCAGCTAGAGCGTGTCTGATCTTTTCGCCATCGTGACCTGGTAAAGGGAACAAGGATCGGCCGGTCCACCATTCCTCACGCTTAAGGTTGGGGTCGAGGTTAACATCGTGTTCCTCAATCGGGCCTTCATCGACTGCGGTTACCCTGGTTGTAGACAAGTTTGGGAAAACCTCAATGTCCCTGTTGGTGGGAACACAGTCTCTTCCTAGGATATACGTGATGACGAACGACTGCGCCAAGCTCTGTGTCGACTTCCCAGAAGTCCTCACGATCCTGTGGCCTCGGGTCACCCCGGGCTGGAGCAGCTCTTCTTGTCGAACACATATGCAAACGGATGCGCTGATCTAGGAAGCTGTACCTGAGTTTTCCCAGAGTGATTGCAACCAAAGTACCTACCAAAAGGCTCAGGAGGATCCATGCCGATGACACTCTCAACTGTCGCCCATCCCTTAGCGAGATTCTTTGCTGGCCCTGCCATCTTAAAATCATCAACGTAGATGACTAAAAGAAGATCAAGTTCAGCGTAGTAGAAAATGGACTGCCAGATCTCGGGCAAAACAGGGGTCCACCCTACGGTCTTAAGCTGATCTTCGCAATGCTTTTCCCAGATCCCACCGGAATCTGGGTGTCCGTAGAGGGCTAGCATTAAGGGCACGACTGGATCGTGAAACCCTTGCCACTCCTTTGGCCACCTGTTGCGCGGGAGTCTGACCCAAGTTTCTACCCCTTTAAACAAAGCTTGCGTGTAAGCCTGCTTCGCATCAGCTTGTTGCTTCGAGTATCCAGGCTGGCTACCGAAGACATCGATGACTTTAGCGGCCTCCATCGAAGCGGGGCTGGATCCGAGCTCAGAGAAGATCGCATGATCGTTGTGTTCGTCTGAAACCCGATTCCCCTGGAACACGCTACGTCCCTTCCACTTCCTGTCAGGGTGTCCTTCCGGAAGTTCGTCGCCCTTGATGCTGCAGATTTCGAAGATTCTTCCGAAGTGGGTTTTGATGCCCATGGCTTCAGCGGACCATCACGAAACTCACGAACCTTCGAATGCAACCAACAAGACTTATCGACTAACTTCTGCCACTCTTTATCCATGGCGGCCTTTGCTGCTGGGGTGCGGTCAATCTCAACTTGGTTGACGACCCTAGCCACCAATGCATACTCAACAGCAGACACTTCCCCTAACTTTTCCCAGTAGAGGGTTGCCATCTTAACGCGATGTGGCTCATCCTTACAAGTTGTTACGGGCATTGCTGGAGCAGCGTCCCGTTCAGCCTCTGCTCGAGCGGCTTCCTCGCGACGGCATTTGGACTGATACCTTTCGATGTCAGCCTCACGCTGGTTACGAGACATCATGTGCCACTCCTCACTAGAGGTGTCAGGGGGACGCTTAGAGCCCTTCTTGTTGCGAACGAGTCTGATCCCATCCCAATTGTATCCTTCAGGCACAGGTTTGCCATCGGGCATGGTGTAGGGATCGTGTCTCTTAGGAATCGATTTCGGTTTGGAGCTATCTGAAGGCTTGTCCGTTGATGATCCACGGCCATCCCCTTCCGGGGGGCTGGAACCTTCGCCTGACTTACCCTCAGCCTCTGGGGGTTTGTCCTCGCCGGGAACAGAGATGGGTTCGGAAGCTCTCTGCCTAAGCCTTTCAAGCTCTTCCTCCACGTCTCTGCCCTCCGGGTTCCAAGGGTCAAGTTCCTTAGGACCAAAAATGTCGTCTTTTCATAATCGGATTTTCAAACATATGCAAAGGGAAAAAGGACTCAAAGTCTATTTGCAAATGAATCCAATCACAAGCAAAATAAGATTCCAAGTAATCCGGCATAAGATGCATCGCACTGTCCTTCATTTTGCACGGGGCGAAACACGGTCTGGCGACCGCCCCCTTCGGGGGCGCGGGTGAGGAGGGTGGGACGAGTGCAGTAGCACGCACGCCAGCTACGGACTACCACAAGTGAAACAGAATGCAGGTCAAAAAAGCCGGGCTACCAGCAGAGCACAAGCAGCTGAGCACAGCTAACTTGGCACAACCTACACCTACACTACGCAGCAACACCTACGGCAGGCACAGGTGGAACTCACAGGAGAGCTCAACACCGGCAGCACGCAGAGCGAGTGCGGCGCAACGCAATTGAAGTGGAGCTCAAAGGAGAGCTCAACGCTCCAAGTAGGCAACATGAGAATTTGCAAGCTCAATGGCACGGAGAGCCAGAGCAGCACACAGGGAGTGGAGGGCGGGCAGAAAATTCTTTCACAACTCAGCTCGAGCACTGAGCTGCTGCATACCAAGGTTGTGTCATCAAGACCAAACGAGGCGACGCGCTGAAGTCAATGCAAAAATTGTCACGTGCAAAAACAAGCCATGCCAAGTTTTTGAAACCAAGTTTGAAAATGCTCGCTTCAAGCTCGCGGTCCTTTTATGAAAAAGGGATCGCAGATGGCGCAGGCTTGTCTGCTGAGATCCTTTTCATAATCGGATTTTCAAACATATGCAAAGGGAAAAAGGACTCAAAGTCTATTTGCAAATGAATCCAATCACAAGCAACATAAGATTCCAAGTAATCCGGCATAAGATGCATCGCACTGTCCTTCATTTTGCACGGGGCGAAACACGGTCTGGCGACCGCCCCCTTCACCCCTTCTTAGTAATCCTTGCGGGAGCCAGGACCCGACAAGGGGCACGAGGGACTAACCCTACGACACCCAGAATTAAGCAGATCGGCGAAGTCACCACGCGACGGAGCATCCGCCACATTGCTCTGGCTGGCTACACGGGCGAACCAAGACCAAGAAGCACTGAGCTCTTCGGCCGCCTCGAAAGACAACAAGATGTCCCTGACGTGATGATTGACAGAGGTGCCCTTGATAAAGGCGTCTTGCGCTGGCACATTGTCTATGTAGAAGATACATCTGTGTCCCGCGATGAATTGGTGCCAAGCCTTCCTCGCGACGGCAACGGCATAGGCCTCAATGGGCCCTATAAAGTGACACATGGAGTCAGCCCAACGCGAGACTAGGACATCAGGGACAGAGCAACCAAAGTAAGCGTGAACCTGATTCTGAAGCATCAACACCCCGCCCACGGTGTGAGAGCTACCTTCGCTCGCTCCATCGGTGTAAATGTGCACAACGTGATCGGCGACAGAGCAAGGGACATGGCGAGGAGTGCCACAACGAAGTCGTTTCAGCAACCGCTCAAGAGAACTCCGAACACACTCATCAAGCTTCAACTCAGGTCCAGAATGCGACTTTGCCCACGACCTGACCTCGGCCATGAAGAGCCGCCCAGCCTTGCCAAGGATGCACGAGTCGGTGTAATGCAGGCGACCCATTAAGCTTAGATACCGCTTCCGAGAAATCAAACCTTCCTCAAGGACTTCGTCAAGAGAGGCAATGAGCTCTTCGGCCCGGCCAGGCTTGTTCCTGACTAGGACCAGGCCTTCAGAAAAGCGAGAGCAATCAACCTCCACTCCAAGCATCGTGGCTTGGGCCTTAAAGGGTGAAAGCTTATCGGAGGCGAACCTAAACCCCAACAGGTTACACAGGGCAATCATGGTCTCCATGGTGTTGTCAGCAATGCCACTCGGAGACATGACAGGGAAGTCATCGTAAAAGTTGCACCAAGGCACGCACAGCTCCACGCCGATGCGCCAGAATAGGCGCGCAAGGCGATTGAAGTGAAGCACCGAAGCGGAACTCCCGAAAGGTAGGGCCTTCGACTCAAAGAGTCCAGGCTCAGCAGTAGAAGGGTCAAGCAATGCGATTATTGCCAGGGCCCGCGACTTCGCAGAAACCGCGAATTGCTTATAAGCCGCTCGGAGGTCCAAGGTAGTGAGGAGAGGCTCGCACCCCACCTTCTTCCAGCCGTCGTGCAGACGACCGCTCAAGGATTCACCAGTTGAAAGAGGGATTGTGAAATCGGGCGGCCCGTTCAGAACCCGAATCCACAACCTGCTGATCCCAATCAACTCGTCGAGCGCGTTAAGATCAAGCTTATCCATCGAGCCGAAAGCCAAATTGACCTTGTTCTCAGTGAAATCATCAACAGGTCTAAGTTTACGGCCGGCGGAGGAAGTCTGTTCAACGCCGAACCGGCGAGTAGGGAGCCAGCACGGCCCGTGTCGAGACAACAACTCCTCAGCAGAAAGCGGTCCCTCAAGAATGCCATCAGCCACCTCATCAAGAGTCTTGTCCCACAGCTCGCGAGCATTCGCGTCGGATGCAGAAGCACGAATCTTTCCAAGCAAAGCGGGCTGCAGAAACTGTGCGGCACTAATGAAATCACTTTCGGCCAACTTAGGTGGCCTGGGCTCGTGAGCGAAAACTCCAGTGTGTTCATGATGGCCCACCAAGTCAAAACCATTATTGCCGAGGTGTGAAACAATCAAATCACCCGCAGAAACAAGTAAGAGTGTACGCGAAGGTGTGTAGTGACAAAGGTACAAGGTTGGTCACAATGCCCAGCTTGAAAATCTTCGCACGACACGTAGCGGAACATATGACAGCAGATATGTTCCAACATATCAAAAATTCCAATCAGGAATAAATATACATTCGAGGCACAATATGCATATCTCGAAAATCGGCTTCACAATGCGCTCACCTTCATTTTCATCCAATGGCGGTCACGGCGTCCTCGTCAAGAGTTGTACGATTGCGAGGATACAAACGCCAAGCATTTGCATCAGGGCACCCGGTGCCCGCTCAAGGGGATGTGTGCATCAAAGGGCCCCAGGCTCCTCAACACTTTATCTCCCCCCCGGGTGGGTGGGTGGGTGACAAAATTTTCGCCCCACCTTTGCCAGCAGGGCACTTGAGCACAAAGCTGCCCGGCTTGCATTCATGATCAACACCACAAGTGATTGATGTCATGCAAAATAATGGCAAAAGCTTGAGGGCGAAAGGACAAACACATGTTTGTTTAAAACATCCAATTTGCACAAAACAAATTTTCCACCGGTTTGATTCGATTGACGGATGCACCCAGCGCATCCTTTTCACACAAGGCAATAAAGATTTATCGCTCCGCGATGTGTTTCTTATTGCCGAGGTGTGAAACAATCAAATCACCCGCAGAAACAAGTAAGAGTGTACGCGAAGGTGTGTAGTGACAAAGGTACAAGGTTGGTCACAATGCCCAGCTTGAAAATCTTCGCACGACACGTAGCGGAACATATGACAGCAGATATGTTCCAACATATCAAAAATTCCAATCAGGAATAAATATACATTCGAGGCACAATATGCATATCTCGAAAATCGGCTTCACAATGCGCTCACCTTCATTTTCATCCAATGGCGGTCACGGCGTCCTCGTCAAGAGTTGTACGATTGCGAGGATACAAACGCCAAGCATTTGCATCAGGGCACCCGGTGCCCGCTCAAGGGGATGTGTGCATCAAAGGGCCCCAGGCTCCTCAACACTTTATCTCCCCACTACAACTCGAGTGTTGAGGCATCGGTGACCGCAGTGCATGAGCGCAAAAGGGTTTCAAGGGCCGAGCAAGTCCAGTCCACATAGGTCCGGGTGTACTCAGATCCGTAGAAGCCAAAGTTTAGGCGTGAAGCATCGGCAGCAAGATTTGCTTTGGACGGCACTCGGGCGTACCAATGAGCCGCTTCAAGCGACACGTCGATGTGCGCACCGACACACAGCATTGCAACTGTTGCCAACACCGGGGATGAGCCAGAGCCCAGGGCTGCTTTCGCTGAATCGTTGTCTATAAACCACAGCACCTTTCGGCCTTTAAGAAACTCGGCCCACACGATCTTGGCGACGAGAACTGGCAAGACTTCCGCCTGGCCCACAAGCTGACGTTTGCCATGAGCTCCCCAAGAATCTATGAACGCTTTCGGGATTAGCTCTCCGAAGAAGCGGTGCACGCCCCTGACTGGGTCAATCAAGACTCCACCGTGAGCTGTAACACCCTCTGCCTCCTCATGGGCGCCATCCGTGAAGACTATGACCGGTCGGTCACTCGCATCAGTTTTGATTTCTCGCGGTCGCATGTCCTCAAGCAACCCGATAGTGTGCTGTAGCAGAACGCAATCATCCGAGCTAAGCTTCAACACCCCGCCGCCTTTCAAGTGTCTCGAAAGGCACTTGACGGCCATCAAAGCAACGCGCCCGAAGGTATGGGTCGAGGCATACAAGAGCCGCCCTTTCAAGCTTGCCAGCACTGCAGGTTGCACGAAACCTTCAGCGCAGACTGAGTTCACCAGCGTTCTCAAGGATTCAAGGCGTCCTTCCTTGTTTGCTATCTCCAGGATGCCTGAAGGGGCACGCACAAGTGAGAAGCTGGCTCCCAGCATGGCAAAGACCTTGGCAAATGGCAGGGACTTTTTGGGGTCCTCGGCAATCTTCCACCCTAAAATGCGCAAGACAAGCTCGGCAGTGGTTTTGGCAGACTCGGCTAACGCTTCAGTTTCCAATTGGCAGAAATCGTCATAAAAGCTAGTCACTATGAGCTTTACGATTCTCAAGAGGATCAGGCGCAACGCACGAGCAACCCGATTGAAGCTGGTGACTGAGTGGATCGCTCCGAAAGGGAGCGTGGAGAAGCGGAAATACTTATGTTTCTTGCAAGTAGGGTCCCACACAGCCAGCACGGAAGCCCACGCATCCAGCGGTGAGGAGGCCAGCTGTTTGTACGCTGCTTTCAAGTCAAGCGCTCTGCCAACGATCTGTCGATTCCCTGGGCTCTTTCTCCGGATTACTGCATCCATGAAGCACTTTGCAGTCTGAGCGACAACATCGATGTCCTGAAGAAGTATCTTTTCGGAGGATGTGCAAGTGGCATTAACCATCGACGCTCTCAGGTCGTCAATGGCACGGGTTTTGTCTCCCTGTTGCACACCGAACCTTCTGGAGGGTATCCAACCATCAGGGAACAACTGATCAAGATCTTCTTCGGATAGTGGACCATGCAGCCACCCGGAATCGTCGGAAGCCTGTTCGACGGCCTCGTCCCAAAGGGCCCTGGCAACTTCATCCGATTCTCTACAGTCGGGCGCTCGGAGCATTCCTTTTACCCAAGGTGCTGCAGCTTTCAACTCGGCCTCTGCCATAGAAGCATGCTTGAAGGCAACTGGGAACTGACCGCTGGGCTTGGCATAGCCAAGCACCCTGAAGCCATCACACATCTCCTGAAACAAAGAAGGGTCATCGACCCCCGCGGCAACAGCAAGCTTACGAAAGAGTAAAAGCCTTTTGCCTTTAAGGACCTGAGCAACTTCGGGATGTAAGCTGCAGTGAAGAGTTTCTTCTTCAGCTCGCAGGTCGGCCTCCGATTGAAGAATGGCTTTCAAGGCGTTAGTCCTAAACGCACACACGTCCACAGCAGGTGTCCCGGACACCCAGTTGATGTTCTCCAAGGCTGGTGACTCGCACCCAGACAGGACATTGCACGGGTGCTCGGCTTTCATGGCTTGCTGCAGAAATTCATCTTTGGTCCAAGGAACCCCGAATGCAACAGGTTTGGTCTCGGGAGGAGGTTTGGTGTCGGAAGAAACCCCGAATGCAACAGGTTTGGTCACGGCAAGCTTTGTGGGACTGCTTTGTTCAGTCGGCGCATCTAAACCCTCCGACACGCTCCAATTCCCCGGCACACTACAATCCCCACGTAACCCTTGTGGGCTCGAACCACTAACTTAAACTCGGGGACAACCGGGGGGACGGCACTAAGTTTAGTAAACCCTTGCAAGGCTACAGATGCGGGCCTCATGGCAGGCGGCATCAGAGCTCCGGGCACGCAATCAACAGACAACTGAGCGATCATGCGACAGCACTCTGTAGGCAGCCGTTTGGCATCAGGCGCGGGTTGTCCTGGAGCAGTCCAAGGTAGATGGGTATGTTGTCCGTCACATTGTCGCTGGAGGCGACACAGAGCAGGCACATTGTGCAAGAAAATGACACGGCGTTTGCGTTCGGCCCCAAACATGCACAGGTCAACAGGAGTTTCATGATGGGGGAGGCCGACGACTTGGGCCCGAACGGCCTTCCAACACCGGGCCGAAGCCGGCAGGCAAAAGCAAAAAGGAGTCGGGTATGCAGTCAATGTGGCCAGAAGCAAGATGATGAACTGTTCCAGAGCAGCGCTCAGCGGCCCTGGTTTAGTAGCATGGCTCAAAGGCGGCATGACGAACAAGAATGCGACGGCTTTCTCTTTCAACCGCTGCAAGCAAAAGTTGACATCCTCAGCTTTGCAGACGTCCCAACGCATGACCGGGACAGAACAAGCTCGATCGGGTGAATGGTGCAAGGCCAAAGTTCGGAGCTGTAGGTCGCGAAACGCAGCGGACATGCCTGGAGGCGAAGCGAAGATTTCAAGACAAAGTTGCCCTCCGGGAGTGGCGGTAGGGAGAGGCATTGGCTCGGGAGGTACGTGTACTCGGAAGCCAAGCTGCTCCAGCTCCGTAGTTTGTTCAACTGTCAACTCGCCCACTGAAGCTATGCAAAAGGCAACCAAGACGAGACGACGACCTTCCCAAGGCAGCGTCAGTTGCTCCTCAGCGCGAGCATGGAGCAAGCAGGGTTGCACTCGAGGGTCGAGCTTGATCCCTCGGAGAGCAGCAGTACCATCATGCACAACCGCAGGTCCATCGGAGCGAATCACAAAGATTTCGCCACCTGAGAAGTCGCTGATCGCAACAACGAGGTTCGGATCAAAACTGTTCCGCAGGTCTTTGTGCCGAGGGGCTTGCACATCGCAAAACAGGACCACAGAAGTCCACCGATGGCAGGGCCGGACCTGCCGGATAAATGCATTGAGCAGTTGAACTGAGATTGGAAAAAGGTGGTTGTTGCGTCGTAGCCCGAACCGATGGTCGCGAGCCCAACATCCAGAGCCAAAAGCTGAAGGAACATCAGTGCCTCTCGAAGCTTCCTCAAGCGGCAACAAGTCAAAAAGGTGCTCGACATCTTGTCGTGTAGGCGGGCGAGCGATCAGCACTCGCCGTGCGAAGATTTCTGCCGCATGCTGCTGCAGAGTAATCCCGGGAAAACATAAGTCAAGGCAAAGCTCGAAATGGTCACAAGCAGGAGTAGGGCACACCGAGCTACCAGAAGTCTCGACAGCAGCTTCGACACCAAAGCCGGCCACTGAGGAGGCCTCCATCACTGCACCTAGTCAAGCATGCTTGATGAAAGGATGGGCTTTGAAACAGCCCGGATGGCAGCACAGGTGCTTGCCCTTAGGGCATTGCGCCACATCGCCATGCTCGCATTTGCCAAGGTTGTAATTCCAACAGAGAGGTGCTCCGCTGGCATCAACGGGAACACCACCCTTGAGGGCTGCGGGCATATAAGGAGTTCTTTTCTTCGGCCGGATGTCGGATCGCCCCCCCACAGGTTGAGGAGGAGGTGGAACAGACCGATCCCCGTTCTTGCGCTTGCGAGGGTTAGGCTTGGTCTTGGCTGCGGTCTTAATGGCAGGAGCGGCACTCCCTCGGGTCCTTGGAATCAAGAGTTGCTCCACGCAACGCATCTTAAGAACTACAGGCAGATGTCTGTCCAAGGGAAGGCCTCCGTCAGAGCCCAGAGTAAAACCCGCTCGACATTGATCACTGAGCCGGAGGTGGATTTCTCGATCACACATGGAGAGCTGAGTCAATGTGACCCTCTGGTACCCCTCAGGAGCATCCTTGTAGTAGGCGTCGAACAAAAAGTTGATCAATGCCTCGTGAACTTCGAAGGTCATGAGCTCGGCAATCGCATAACAGACTCCTCGACGACGAAGTGCATGATGAACCATGAGGTCAGTGGCCACATTCGCCTCAAGGCGAGGAGCATCCTTGTGCTCGCGCACCACTCCACTCTTGTCCGGCTTCCAAGCTTTCAGCAGATTGTCCTCTGATGCCCCAACCACTTCTTGATCACGGGTGGTCAGCCTCGACCATTCGATGTAGCGAAGTCGCCCTTCATCCAGCATGGCGGCGAAGAGATTGATGCTCGCGTGGCTGGGCTCCAGAATGCCTTCAAGCTTCAAAGGTGCGATCTTCGGAGTAAGCACTTGGAGCCGTGCCCCGATCTCAGCAACCGGCAATTTGCGGGGTGCGGACTCGTCTGTCCCATCGACCTTGCGTTTAAGGTCTGCAGCAGTCAAGGTCCAAGCCTCCCAATGAAGCCGTCGCAGAGCGGCATCATGGGACGCGTGGGTATCTCCCAACACAGCTTCCAGAACCACCCGAACAGCCGCTTCGGCTCCCGCAGTGCCCGGCGTGGCTGTCGGTGCATGAGCAAAGTTCGCAAAGGTTCCCCACCCTCGGAGTTCTAGCCGATCAATCACCTCGCCGGGCAGGCCGACCGCCAAGCACCTTTGGCGGAAGATGGCCTTGGAGTCAACATAGGACATGGCTTTCGCTATGTTGGCTTGCAAAACTCGAGCCTTAACTCACACGACGTCGCTCACGAGTACCGGGACCAGTGCTAGGTCCCGTCAGCAGGCACAGCTCAAGCTCCTGTTTCAGCTGGTACAAATGTCGCCTCATTTGAAGCAAGACAAGCACGGGTTAAGGATGACGTTGGGTCGGGCTCCTAGCTCAGTGTGCGCCGCGGTGGCCAACCGCCCACACAGAAACACAGTAGCATCGTCATCATTAACTTGCCGGGCTCGGTGCACGGTCTTACGTGCTTCATGCAAGTAGTATACATAACCATCCTGGCTGGAGCTATCGAGAGTTTCGCTATGAGCGTGTATCTCGGCCATTTGCCCATCAAGCTCCGACTCCGCACTATCGGAGTCGTCATCTGGCTCTTCGCTGGACTCAGAGTCGGAGGACGAATCTGCTAGAAGGCGGCTCACTTTTTCAGCCCGCATTCTTTTAGGCTCACCCCCATTGCGTAAGAGTGCCAGAGCCGAATCATAATCCTCAGCACCATGCCACCTCTGGAGGCGCGGCTCGTCAGGCGAAAAGTACCCTTCCTTGATCATCTCAAGAGTATTGGCCAACCTAAAGATAAGCGGGGCGGCTGCATCATGGGCGTATTCCAACTCTGATTTGCCCTCAACGCCGACATGATAACCTGCTCTTCGGCACATGGCATTCGTCGCCGCCCCTTTGGTGAGCCAAGCTAGGCACGTAGCTTTGCAGCTGTGTGTTGCGATGTTAGCCAGCTCCTCAAAGGTACACACATCCGAGAGGATTTCTCGCATCCAGACCGAAGCGTCAGAAGACCGGAGCTTTCGTTCTGAAAAACCCCCGTCTGCAGTCGGGCACCTCATGAGCGGTTCATCCTCCGAAGCACTCAAACCGAGCGCAGCACGATTTTCCAAGTAGGAGGTGGCCCAACACTCAGACCCGTGCACTCCTGGACTTATCGCAAAGACAGGAATGAGCCGAAACCGAGTTGCCCGCCGAAGAGAGCTGGTCTTGGACCCATACAAGCGAAGAGTAAGGATGTTGTGAGCCTCACCCTTTTCAAGCTCAGGTTCTTCAAAGCACATTTGCCCATCACTGAACCTGAGCCTGCCATGCACAAGCACACACAAGAATCCAGCAAAGATGGAAAGCGCACTCGGTTCGCCACATGCAAGTTGCTCCAACTTTCTCAATTGATGGACTTTCAAGGGCCATTTCTTGACGATGGGTCTTTTCTCCACCCCGGCGATCGTAGATCCAATGACCCTGGGTGACAACATGGAGAGATCACCGGCACACTGCAGCAGGCTATGCGCAAAGCGGATGCTCTGTATGAAGCGTTCGCCCCTGGAAGCAGGAGCTCCCTCGGCTCGCAAGTAGCATGTATACTGGTACAAGCGATCTTCACTGGCAGGGAAAAGTTGGTTCTCACCAAAAGTTGCTCGCTGCCAACGGGCGTACTGAAGGAGGCTGCCTGCACGACTACGCAATGTTGAAGTAGCCTTGTGGGCGAAGACATCATCCAAAATTATCGGAACCTGGGCATCCGAAGCCTTCGAGAGAGCAACTGCCAGTCCACACACGGAGGTGACTATGAGCGCTTGCCACAACGCGAGCGCCTTGACACGCTCCTTGCGACTCTGATTGTCTCCCCCTTTGCTGATCGGCAAGGCCCGTCTGGCGGGGAATGCAAAACACTTCGGAGGTGCCGGATCTGGTTCTTGCACTTTGGGTTCCGCAAATGTCGGAGGAGAAGTGTACCCACACCCGGACACATAGCTTCCAACCGGATCCCAAGGAGTCGGGACTTCTTTAAGAGTTTGGATATCACCAGTCCCCAAATCACGTTTGGCAGCTAACAAGCGGATCTCATGTTGCATCGCGTCACACCCGCACGCAAAGGGCTCGGCTGAAGAGATCTCAAGTGTTGTTGACCTAAGGAGTCCGAGAGTTTCCTCCCCAAAGGCGAGCAAGAGGGCCAAGGATCCAGCCCAGAGCCCAATCAGGTGCCAAGCACTCGATAAGGTCCTGTCACTCACCCAAGGTGAGAATCGCCGATCGCCCAGCAATCGCGATGTTAGCACTCGACAGAGTGGGCCCCAGGCCTTCGAGAGAGCACGCTCTCGCAGTCGTCCCACAAATGGCCGAAGTGCCTAACAATCCGTTTTTGTTGAGCCCCAAACCGAACGGCCTAAATGAGGTCCGGACCAAAGAGGTGAAGAAGATCCAAAAGGGTTCCCCCTTTTCCCGATGGAAGGGAAGTACCGTCGTGCAAGCGACCTGTATGCCACAGAGAACAGTACACCCATTCACAAGGATCAATAAGGTGAGCACCCAGTGCTCGCAGCAGTGTAGCCAACGCTTTCTAGGTATCAGGAAGTCAAGAGCGGCTACTTTCACTTGATCTTGGGCCCACACCTCAGTCAAGATCGAAGCTCGCCAACCTCAAGGAAAGCCCAAGCTTCCCTATGCAAGGAGATGCCCGGCATCTCCCTGCACAGCACACTCATCTGCGCTGCACAACTTGAGGCTGCAGCTTAAAGCAGGCAGTGTGCCAGGATCACCTGGCAAGTCTCAGTTGCCCAGCAACGAGGGGCGGCCAAAAGCCAAGGGCCAAGCCCTGTCTCACAGGTGGAATGTGTTCCACCAGCACAACCTGAGAAAGAAAAAGGGGGTCGCCCAGCGCCCAAAGAGGAGACTCAACCCTAAGAGCCCAGCTCGAAGGGTCGACTCACTGAGGAGTCTCCAAAGCTCACCTGAATGTAACAAATTTGTGGCACCTGCGTCAAGGTAAAAGAAACCCAGACTGAGGCATCGGCTCACTGGCGTTCAAGCTCACGCCACCAAAAGCTCAACAAGAAGCTCAGAGCAAAGCTCGCAAACAGGATTCGTTCAGGTATGGTCTTTCAGAACGGTGCATCATACAACTGTCTAGGGCATTCAAAAGCGCGCACAAAGCATGTATCCTTCCTTTTGCCCATCTCAAGCCATGTAGGTTTCGGCAGGAGTTTTCTAGGGCAGACATCACCCCCATACCCCATGGGCACAGGAAAATACAGCTCCTGTCAGCAAAGCCCTCTGAAAAATTTGCGTCGTAATAGCACCAGTAAAAGACTCAACATGATCCAAGCGACTAGCAAGAGCTCGCAGCGTAACCTGATAACCCGCCTGGCTTGTCAAAAGTGGCAAAGGCTAGGCCGGCTGCCCGAAGCGGTCAACTCCAAGCATGCTCTCGATCCGCTGAAGTCTCCTGACCAAGGAGACTCGGTGCTCGCTGTCGATGATAGATCCAGTAAAGCCCTCCAAGTCATCGAGGCGACCGGCGATGGCCGCAAACTGTTCACGAAAGGAATCGAGACTCGATTCCAAAGGGTGCGCGAACTGTGGGGCGCACACAAGAACTGTGGCACCAGATTGCGAGTGCCAGTCACCACAAAGATGCTCCTTCTGCGCGTCCGTCAAGGAAGCATAGACATCTTCCACATCCCGAGGAGAGCAAACATCACCACTCTGGCTGAAACCGAGGGAGTCCTCGGAGCAGGAGTCCCAGGTCGAGCGAATCTGCAGCTCCGCTTCAGGTTCTTGTACGCTCTGCATGTCGATTGCGAAGCGATCACACGCGTGAGCGAAGGTCAGCGCCTGAGTGCGGGCGAAGCGACGGTCCGGCTGACTGGCAGTGTGCATCCAGAGGGCCTTCCGGGTCAAGGGGGTCCCGACAGTCAGGGAAGAGCTCATCTCAAATGAAGCGGCGAAACAGATGCCGCAAATGTGCAATGAAAGTTTCAAGCCAGGAGATGCGAGCGGCTGAGCTTGCTGCCTGCCTGTCCAACCAATCTAAGCGATCCTCGGCCACGCGGACACGAGACTCAAGGAGGTCGTGTGAAATCTGCAAGCTATGAAGATGGCTGGACAAAGCCTCAAAACTCGAGAGGCTGCTAGGGTGCTCAGACGCCTCGGACACAGCGAGACCTGCCGGAGCGGCCTCTTCCATCCGACTGCCCCACAAGGGCAGTCTTGCACGGTGCTCTAAGAGCAACACCGAGGTACAGAGGACTCAGACCTGTTAGACAGAATGACAGGCCTCTAGAGAGCCCTGACAAAATTTTCGCCCCACCTTTGCCAGCAGGGCACTTGAGCACAAAGCTGCCCGGCTTGCATTCATGATCAACACCACAAGTGATTGATGTCATGCAAAATAATGGCAAAAGCTTGAGGGCGAAAGGACAAACACATGTTTGTTTAAAACATCCAATTTGCACAAAACAAATTTTCCACCGGTTTGATTCGATTGACGGATGCACCCAGCGCATCCTTTTCACACAAGGCAATAAAGATTTATCGCTCCGCGATGTGTTTCTTGCGCAGTTCATCGAAAACCTTCGTGTCAACCCAACCAAGGGAGCCGGCGATACGCTCCAGAAGCTTTAGCCTTTTTCCTTGCAAAACCTTGGCGACCTGAGGATCAAGCGCCTCCTTCAAAGCACGTTCCTCGCCTTCAAGGTCGGAGGCCCAGGACGTCCACTTCCTGAGTAGGGCCGCCCTCCGTTGCACAACCCAGGTCGGCCCATTGACCAACATGTCAAAAATGCATTGTTTGAGACGATCAGGAGCGGCATGCAGGTGATCGAAAGGATGAGTAACCCTTCTGCACCCATCAAGAAATTCATCGGGAGAGGCGTACACACCAAGGCGAACCTCAAAAGCTCTCGCATCGCTAGTAGGCTCCAAGGTCCGCGCACAGGAGGCATCACTGTCGGAACCGTGCACGGATTCGCAACTGCTGGCATCACTGCTAGAACTATCCGAGTGCACAACCTCATCCCGGGAAAACTTCAACGAAGACCCAGAACCACCCCCGCTTAGCAGTAAAGAGGTCGAAGAGAGAAGTTTGGACCCAGAAGGAGCATCGCGCAGGGGTTGCAAAATACAACGCTTGGAATCAACAGGCGGCAGAGCATGAACTTGGTAGACAAGCACACGCTTGAACTCAGGCATAACAGGAGGCAGCTTACGCCCGCGAGGTTGCCGAGCAGAAGAAGTGGCAGCAGCGGCAGACGTGGCCGCAGTAGGATGCACAGGCAAGGGACGACCCAAGTGCCTAAAGACCAGCGCCACGAACTGTTGGCAAAAGGGCCTGGGGTAGGCTGCCTCCTGCGCAGTAGGAAAAGACATCGTGCCATCAGCGCGGCGCTGTGGTTTCCACGGAAGGTGGTCGTGCCCACCTGGGCAGCGCTGGCGAAAATGTTCGATGGCATCACAAGAAGTAAGCAGCGTACGGTGGGTCAATCGTGCACCACCATAGCAACACATGTCGAAATTGACCCTCGGAAAATTCTTTACCAAATGAGCAAAACAGGGCAGCTGCCAAAGCATGCTTGACTCAGGATTTTCAACTGTCCATGGGATGTTGGACCTGCAAAGCAAATCAAGAAACTGGGCAAGGCCAACGTAAATTTTGTTTGCAGCCTTGACCTTGTCAAGGTTGACACCAGTCAGCGAAGGCAAACCCATGGGATGCTCAGGAGAGCGAAGCGGGGCCACGGACACCCCTTTTCGCTTTATGTTGCGCGCTGCGGAGCACGTGCCACAAGGCGGGGCAGCGTGCACGAAGAGTATAGGATGATCACGCACCAAATTGCGCAAGAAGACCCAAGTGGACTCCTCGGTCAAGCTGAGATTGCAAACCTGCGCCAACGGATGATGGCGGTTGTGCTGGTGATCAATGGGCATGACAGGCACACCCGCTTCACGAAAGCAGCGAGACAGCATGGCGGTGCCGGCACATAGCTCTAGAAAAAGTGGTTCTTTGGGAACCAACGCCTCGGTAAAAGCCTTGGTTGCTGAAGCACCCGACAGCAGAGGGAAACGCGGCGGCCACGGCAGGCGAGCAGGCAGCTGTGGGTGCTCACGGAAGTGCTCGACCTCTGGCTCGGTTGGCAAAGCAAAATCAAGTGAAATCAAGCGTTGCGAGGCCTCGAGAGACAGCTTATCAAAGGCCGAAATAGAGAAAGCAACCAAAATGACCCGCCTGCCCTGCCACGAATCAGTGAGGTGCATCTGCCTGCGTGCATCAAAAAGGACAGGGCCATCCGACACAGGCAATGCCACCCCTTGAAGGGTTGCACCATCAACAGTCCGAGTGTGGGGACCCTTGCTGGATTGCACCCAAATTGCACCTTTAGTAAAACGGGACAAGGGAATGGCCAAATTAGGCAAGAAGGAATTCTGCTGATCACGATGCGGGGCCGTGCGAACACCATCAAAAAGCACGACGGTTGTGAACTTGTGGGCAGGAGCAGACTGCCTTACAAAAGCAGCCAGCACCTGCGTTGACTTTGGAAAAACAGCGACATTGCTCCGGAGTCCCACCTTGACCTTGGCAAAGGCCCCAGTGGTAAAAGAAATGCCGCCACCGGAGCCGCGTTGCGGCGCAGCTTTCGGGAGGCAATCGAAAAGCTTCAAAACATCAGCCTGTTCAATCCACTTCCCAATCAGACTTGAAGCGAATTCTTCAGCGGAAGGCAACCCATTTGGACCTGCATGCAAAACTTCCCCTTCAGGGACACTGCATTCAGATGAAGAGCGCACGAGAGGCTCACCGCTCTGTGCAGCATCTTTCTCGTCAGTCGTTTGGTCCATGGATTGCACACCTAGTCAATCCTTCTTGCGTTTGGGACACGCCGTGTATCCATGATCTCTCTTGAAACATCCTTTGATGCAGCAGACATGGAGTCCTCGCTCGCACTTCCCATTGGATACAGCTCTCTGGCAACGGCCTAAGTTAAAGTCGAAGCAGATTGGCAATCCGCGAGTCGTGGACGGAACTCCGTCTGCAAGCTCAGCGGGCATACGGACATTGTTCTTGCTCTTTCCTTTACCCTTGCCTTTCCCCTTGCCCTTCCAGGGCCTTCGGTCATCGTACGGGCCAGGCCTGAAAGGAGCCGGAGGGGCTGCGACCAAAGGCTGCAAAAGGTGTGTGACATTATTGCAATTCATTGCCTCGTTCCAAATCTTATCAACTGGCTTGCCGTCAGAAACAAGTTGGATTCCATGCCGAGTGCGATCTGCTGCTTCAACAAACAGCTGCCGATCAGCCTGCATAAGCTGCTGCAGCGTCAGCGTCACACGTGCATAGTTGTCAGGTGGATCCCTGAAACGCGCGGTAAAAAGTGCTTCCACCCACCGCTCGTGCTCCGAAAAGGTGACTATCCCTGCCTGGTCTAGGGCCAAACCTCGACGGGTCAAGGCCAGCTTGAGGAGAAGGTCTGAGGACACATCAGCATCAACCTTTGCAACCTGGGTGCGTAGAGACACATGACCGGCACCATCAACGGACAACATCTTATCATCGCGATCCTTCTTGAACTTGACCTCATCATCACGGCAAGGGCACGACTGAGGCGGCAAGTAATGAAGCACGTTATCCTCATACATCTGAACGCACTTATCAATCACGGCATGACCCGGAAGAGTCGGGCCGTGGATCGTCAAACCACTCAGCCGAACCTGCTGTCGCTGCAACCTGTCAGCCCGGTCGGGCGCTGCGAGCTTTCTCGGAGCAGAGTCATCGGTCCTTTCAACCTGTGATTGCAATTCAGACACAGTTAGGTTGTAGCTCTCATGCAGCAAGCGGCGAAGCACACTGAGCTCCGCAATCGAAGGGTCACGCCCAAGCACTTTGACGATGGCAGCAGTGAATGGGCTCTCATCCGTGCTCCCGGGCACGTATGAGCTCAGGAAAGCATACTTGCTCATGCAATCAATGCCAGCGTCAACGAACTTCACCAGCACCGGATCCTCCAATCCAAGAGCCTTCGCCCTCGAAGAGAAGTTTGCCTTGCTCTCTGTGACGGCCATGGCACAAAACCTGTCAAGGCACTATGGGGTCTCCAGCCAAAGTGCACACTCACCGCAAACGACAAATGCACTTGCAAACCGCTGACTGTCGGACACAAGTTCAGCACGATAACACATACTTGACGGCGCCCGGCAAGTATTTCACACGACACTCGTGTTCAGTCATGTTCTAAAAACTCGCATGACACCAGACAAGTAAGTCGGTGCCACATCAAAACCAGGCCAGTGCCCGAAATTCGTACATGTGCCACCGCGTGGACCGGTGGCATCACGCACTCACGCACATCATGAAACCCGCAAGGGTCTGACAAGTGAGCCGAGTGGGCCCAGCTCATCCACTTCCAAGCCGCGCAGTCCGGCAAACCACAAGTGCGCAAGCACATCAAACCATCACCGAGTGATTCCGGCGAGCACCGCGTGTACCGGCTTCCACAAGTGCGCAAATCACTTGAAACAGTTTTGGCACATATCTGCCATAAACCTAGGCCTCTCAGCAAGACGCTCGAACTTCTTTGAGCACCTCTTCCCACAGCGAAGTCGGTTCCCGCCCTCATCAGCGAGACGGTGAAGCTTGCGGGAAGTGATGTGCCTGATGTACACATGGGCATCAGGGTCTCCCACAGATAACTCGGCCCAAGGCGGTATGATCTCATCAGCCGCAGCCTCTTCAGCACGAAGGTCCTGAACGTTGTCCTCTTCGTCCAGTGACGCCTCCGAGGCCGACGGTTCATCATTGAACTCCGGACCTGGTTCGCGCTCGGGATCAGTTGGAAAATAGCCCGAACGTGTGGTGTCCGGGAGGAACTTGCCGATCCTTATATCGGCGAGCACGTACTCAAGAGACCTCAGAGCAGGCGCAACATTGTCACGCCCATAGATGTGCATCATCTCATCCTGCGGAGCCTTGTGATATCCCAAAATCCTCCGGTGCAGCGCATCAACACCGTACTTTGACATCCAAGACAAGGTCGTAGTCGTAGCCTTACAGCTGTGAGTACCAAGCTTTGAGGCTTCAGGGAAACCTCTGGCAGACAAAATCCCGCGCAACCAACCAGCGGCTACAGTGGCCGTAGGCGGAACACCCGACCATCCGCCCTCCTGACCACGGCTGGGCAGGAGAGGAAAATCTTCTCCCTCGGGAATGGCGAGGTCCTCACGAAGGCTCATCCACGTCCTGAACCAAGGAACGGACGCCACCCCGCACAATGGCCCCACCATAGGAAGCAATGCTGTTTTCCTCTCCAAGGAGAAACTGGTCTTCGTCCTTGAAGTCTCACCTTGAAAGTACCCTGCAAGGGTCCCATGAAAGAGTCCGGCTCATCCAAAACCAGATTCATCAGGGCCTGGCCATCACTGTATCTAGCACGAAGATAAATGCAGAGTAAGAAAAAGCCTGCGCACAGCCTGTCCACATCATTATCTGACTCATCCACAACAAGGCGCTCCAGCCTCTTGACCATAGCAACGGTGAGTGGCGGCTTCTGTCGCCTCTTCCTCTTTTTAAGAAAAGAGGCACGCGCAAGCCCTGTAAGGCGGCCACTGCAAAGGGAGTCCGAGAAAGACTCAGCACCCAAAACGAACTTGCAAAACGCCAACGATGACATGAGTGCCTTGCCGAAAGACGGCGCGCTGGAATCCTCCAAATCAAGCAGGAACTCATACACGTCTTTCTCTCTCAGTGGCAGCGGCTGGAGACGCCGCTTCTTGGCCCACGCCACAAAACGGAGCAACGGTCCCGCACGATTGTGCAGTGTACCCGCAGCTTTGCCCGAAAAGGTGTGCAGCAAACCTTGCGAGACTGCGGAATCCTGGCAGGACGCGGCAGCACACCTGCGGCCAACATCAAAGGTGAGTGGATCCTCAAGGACGATAGACACCCACTTCTGAATGGCAGCACGCAGCTTCTTGTCAAGGTGCACACTCCAAGAATCCTGCAGCCTGACCCTGCCTAGGGCAAGCTTGACAACTGAAGCAACGGTAACCTGGGAAGACACCATCTTGGGCACTGGCACAGACATGACAGGCGGCATGGGCCCGCTGGCACGTGCCATACCGGCAAACAAGTTGGCAGAAGGCTTAAGTTTAAAATCCCAGGATCGGACAAACCCAGTCTTATTGAACTTGCGCATGCAAGACGCCAAATGTGCCTCGTACGACCCAAAGGCCATGGCGGCATCCCTCCGGCGATTGTCACCTGCCTCAGAAACCCCACCTTCAGAAGATGCAGGGGGCATGGAGCCGGAGGCCATGAAAGCTGAAAGCTTAATCCTCAATGGAATAATCCGAAGAGTCACTGAACCCGGCAGGGCAGACCCAAAAGAGGCGATGCTGCAGCCGAAGCAAGGCACAGGTCGCTCGCAAGGAGCGAGCGCGGTGAGTCCTCAGAAAAGCAACAACGCACTGCCAGAGCTCAGGTTGAGCAGTGACAAGCAGCAGAGCAGGCCCCCTTCTGCAGCTCGAGTCCATCCGCTGGTCACACGAGACCAGCCTGCACACCCTCTAAGAGGGAACGTCAGAAAAGGGGCCCGGTTAAAAGCAGGAGCAGTTAGGGTCTCAAGCCCAAGGTTCACAGAAAATTCTTTCACAACTCAGCTCGAGCACTGAGCTGCTGCATACCAAGGTTGTGTCATCAAGACCAAACGAGGCGATGCGCTGAAGTCAATGCAAAAATTGTCACGTGCAAAAACAAGCCATGCCAAGTTTTTGAAACCAAGTTTGAAAATGCTCGCTTCAAGCTCGCGGTCCTTTTATGAAAAAGGGATCGCAGATGGCGCAGGCTTGTCTGCTGAGATCCGATACCACCTGAAGGAGGAAGCGTCTTGTCCTTAGATGGGAAAACACAGTCCTGATCCTGAAGTTTGGGTGGTTCACCCCTCTGATCCTCGGGAACAGCAAGAGGAAAAGCTACATCCCCAATCGGAAGTTCCATGCGCTTGACCCGAATGGTTCTCAGGTCATCGTTGTCAATTGCATCTTGGCTACCCTTTAAGGGAGCTACAATGTATTCCTGTCTCCAAATGAAGCCAGGTTGAATGTGGTACCCAAGAAAGATACCGTCTTCGGCCTTTGGGTCGAACTTAGAAGCATTCGTGATGTTCTCTTTGGGGTTGTTCCAATAGAGAACCTTGGCACCAAAAGGAATGCGCATACCGCTAAACCCTTCACCGAACCTTTCGTCCCATGGGATCTTCGCGGTGTCCATCCTTTTGGACAAGTTTAGAGCCATAGTATGATGTTGAGCAGCTAGTGGCCAGAGCTTCGTCGGAAGTCCTGCCTGAAGCAAGTTCGCCCTGGTGCCCTCGAGCATAGTTCGAATCTCTCTCTCAACAACAGACTTGCTCTCATCGACATAAGGTCGGGAAGAATTGTGACGAACTTTGTATTTTCCAGTTGCATTCTTGAGTTCGGGGGCATTGTCAGAGTAAATGATCCCTGGTTCGTCGTCTACAGTGAAGTAGTGCAGCAGGCAATCATAAATCTCTTCCGACTCCTTTCTACCTGCAGGGTACACATAACGAAAGTTAGTGAACACGTCCTTAACCACAAGAGCAACTTTCTCACCTTCGATCCCAAAATCACGCAAATCCTTAGTCACAATGCGATCAATGGTCACGTGGTCTCCAAACTTCTTCGAAAAGATAGTGGAGCTCCCCCCTCGCTTTCTGGCATGTGGCGCTAGCATTTTGGCCTTTTGGCATACCTTGCAGAAAGGGCTCTTAGGACGATGGGTGAATTTGTGCTCCGGGCTATTGGCCTGCAGCTGAACGCTTTTCATCCTTTGGATCAGCTTCAGCTTCTTTGTCGCTGTCGGGCCCCGGCTGGGGGTCATCAGCAGGTCTTTTGAAGATCGTTATGCTGAGAATGCAGGCATCAGAAGGAAGCTTGGCTACCCTATTGTCCAACGTCCTGACATCCACGTCCTTTTCGGCCTCCTGCCATTTCTTGACATAAGTCCAAGTACTCCGGATGACATGCTTTGGGAACCTCGTTGCAGGCGTTCTAAAGGTTTTGGGAAAGTGCCCCACGATCATTTGTGGGAAGGAAGGATGTGAAACCCAACCTGGTTTGTTCAAGTACTCCGCCTTGATGCCTAACGGAGTGACCTCTTTCAAAACTTTTTCAATCCTGGGGTCGAGGCCTTTACCCGAGGACTCACCTTCCGGCTCGGATTCTGCTGCATTGGCGTGCCTTAGAAGGCCGCTGAACGGGGAAAACCCGATGTTGCCTGGACGACTGGCGAATGCGCCGACTTCTCATCCTTGGCAGGCATGGCAATTGTGCCATCGCCGATTACCGAGACTCGCCCGCGCAGCTTACAATACAGCTTTCGGCCTTCCGGTGTCACGAAGTAAGGTGTCTTCCCTGCATACCAGTGAAAGTCGAAACCCTCATCCATGCACCTCCTCCCTACAGAACACACTGGTGACGTAGAGTCGAGCACATAACACTCTAGGACCCTGTTGATTTCGGGAACCTCTAGCTTCACAGCGCCTTTCACGGGTCCGTTGGCCGTGATCAGGGATACTGGTCGGGAGGACGGTCAACGGGCACATCAGGGAAGTGAGCTCTGCAGTCCGCCTTGCTGATCAAGTCCTCTTCGATTCCGGTGTCTGCTAAGAACTCAAGACCGGGGACTAAACCAGCGCATGACGGTCGTGCTAGTCGCTCACACTCTTCACAGAGGAACCCTTCTTCGTTGCATTCATACCCACACTGTGCAGGCATGCCGTGAACACTGCATTCGATCATGTTGGCGAACTGTTTGGCCCACACAAGGGCCCTTTTCAGATCCTTAGGATTCGAGCGGGGACACTGTTCGGCAGGGGGATAGACCTCATCATAGATCCTGGGAAGGTAGGCATGCTTTCGCCGTTTGCCCTCCGGTTCTATCGCAATCATTTCTACAGTGTTTCTTGCATGTAGAAGATCGTCTTACCTACCCACGTGCTGCCGGGCCCATTGCTTGGGGCCTTTCTCCAGTTGTAGATCTTGCTTCCCACATATGGAGAAATCGGTAACACCTGCTCGAGCTTCGCTTGGCTCCTAAGCTTCTTGGGGTTCACAGGACATGAATTGTCTGGAACATACCAATCTGTTCGGTACTTCTTGCGATGGCGGATGACTTTGTTGCCGGTGAAGTCTACCTCCCAAAAGTCCTCATCATGTGACGCGGCCATAGCAAGCTTTGGCGAGATCTTAGGTCTTAGGATCCGCTGGATTTTCGAATGCAGTGGCACATGCGGCGGCCTTTGGCGCCTTGTCACTTGACTTCGGCCTTGGACTTCTCCCTCTGCGCGGAGCTGGGGAGTCAGCCCTTGGAGACCCTGCTTTGGGGGCTGCTGGGGCGGCTTCAGACTTCGGAGCGGGGGCTGAAGGCTTCTGAATGTCCTTGTGTTGGAACCGACATTTGTCAACTCTCGAACAGTTCCCTTCTTTCCAGAATTTGCAGGTCACATTAATCTTCTTCTTGGGTTTGTCGCCTTTTGGGGACAAGGACCTCTTCTTGTGAAGAAAGGGGCAATTGTTGCCACGCTTGCAAGTTCCTTTGAGGAAATCATAGCATACTCCCTTCGGGTAGGGGACCTAGACTTACCGGGGGACTGGGATCTGCCTTTTTGGTGATCTTGGCCTTGGGCTCTGTGATCTGCCACGGCCTCCTCTGCAAGAGAGGCTGGAAGCACGACCAGGTGACTTGGAAGCAGGTGCACCGTACTTATCCCCGTGAGATCGTGCTATGCGGTCACGATTCTTGCGTTTGCGCTCTCTTGTCAAAAGATCTTTGAGCGACTTCACAAGGAATTTGTACGTGTGCTGCTCTGTGCCTTCTGCTGCCCTGTCATAGATTTCAAGGTCGTACTTAAGCCTTTTGGACTGCCTGAGTTCACGAAGGAAGATGTCTCTCAGGGTGGTTTCGTCCGGCGTATGGCTAAGTCCTGACATGACAGATTCCCAGTTGCTAATGAACACCTCCTCGTTCGTCTTGAAGTACTGATCGAAGAGGTAGAGCACCTGTCGTCCTCGCACCGCCCTGAACTTTGCCGCTTCTGTCTCCTTGAAGATTAGAATCTCGCGGGACAGTTCTCCTCTGGCGACTTTGGTGAGTGCAGCTAGGAGTTTCGTGTCAAAGGTGAGGAATTTCTCGGGGTCCCTGAGGGATTCCTGGCTAGCGTCTTTGTGCGAAGCCTAAAACGGCCGGGTCTCTACCTACGGGCACCTACGGGGCTCAACGCAGGCACTCCTTTTCTCGAGACCCAAAAGGGCTGCGGTGCGCAATAATAAAGAATCCTACGTGATTTCTCGCACCCCTCTCCAATGCCGAGGGCTTGGGCGGAGATTCCCGCTCGGGCGGTCCCTTCCCGCACTGCTCAGCCGTCACGTACGAAGTGATGGCTCCTGCAGTGGCTGCAGACTGGAAGCTGCCGGGCCCACCCGCGTATCTCCGTACACTGCGGAAACACGTGTGGCGTGTAGTCTTCCCCAACCACAAGAACGTGAGTCAGGTCCTCCCACCTGTGGCCGATGATCATTCCACCCCAACAGGTGAAACAAAGATTTTCGGTGATGATCCGGTTTTGGGGTACCCAAGCTAACCCGACGCAGTTCCTGTAGAAGTGAACTGTGCGTCTCGTCGGAGCGTAGTAAAGCTCCCCAAAGTTGTGCTGCGGCACCGGGTCACCGGGGGTAGGCGCGCTCCAGGTTGGAGTGGGCGTTGCCCGCACCACTCCGTTAAGGAGGTTCTGGGGGGGCTTCCGCCTGGAGGCGGTCGATCCTTTGGGGCTTCCGCGTGGCGCTTTTGGACTGCGTGGGAGGCCTAGCACTTTCTGTGCTTCCCGCGCCTTCCCTCTAGCTTCCTTGCCCCAGCCCCCCTTCACCCAGGCTGTTCTTGCAGCTGAGGGGGCCGCTGCCGCACTGGCGGCGGAACCCTCGAGGCTCCAGCGGGTACTCCCGCATTCGCTGTTGCGGTGTCCGGGGCTGCCTCCGTTGGTCCAGCGTGTTCCGGGGCGGGGCGGTGTCTCCGACTCCCCCGGCTTGGGGGAAAACCTCGCTGTCCTCCGGTGCCTCGTTGGCTGCCGCTTCCAGAGAGGGGGCCGGTAGTACCACAGTTACCACAGGCTGTGCCACCATGGGCGGGGGTTCCTGCAGCACTCGACCCTGACGTAGGGCCCAG